CCTTTCTCGTTGCATGCGCAACAGGGGGGCCCGCCGCCGTCTCGCGGGATGAGGGTAGGTGGAGGGGGTTGGGTGTAGTCCGATACACGCTCGCTCATCCGAAAAGGAGGAGAAACAGCCGAGAAATCACCAACTCAATCATGGGGGTGTGGCAATCAACGCACCAGAAACCCGAGAGAAACCGATTCTCCGGGTTTTTTGCCGGCGTTTTTCGCGCGAACGCGTGAGCGGATTTGAAGCTCGAAGCAAACTCGTTCCTTGCAGTGACCCCCTCCACACATATCACAAAGCAGATCTTGAAAAGACCCCCTAGAAAAAAGTTGGTTTCGCTCTGCAGCAAAAATTTGGTTTGCGAGCTGATAACCACCTCCAGCTCATCTTTCTCCCGCATTCACGTGTGGCGTTGCCGATCCGTCCATCCATAGCATGTGAGCACAGAGCTTCGGTCATGCCCTGCCGGTGTGCCTCCTACCTGTTTGTTGTGGATGGATACATCAATGGATGATGAACAGACGTATTCGATAAGGCACGCATCCAATCCAGTTTTTGCTTTGTACAGATCAGTAGGTACAGCGCTGTAAGGTGTCTGCATACTGTGAGGAGTCGTTCCTCGTCTTTTTTCTTCTCTCTTTTCCCCTTTCCTTTCTTAGCTTCCTTTTTCCTGTGTTAGTCCCTGTATGTCTTCGCAATATCGCCCCCTCCCCCTTGAATGGGGGAGGGGGCTGCAGAAGGTCAGCTTCCATGAACCAATGGTCACTTGCAGGAAAGAGAGCGCCAGCCGCACACCCACACAAGGTGCAAAGGGAGGCGACTGACACAGCATTCTTCCGGCTTACACACATACACTCATTTGTGTGCTCCCGGGTTTGCCAGGTGTGTTGATGTTCCGTTCGGCCGCATTTGGCCGCATTGCCGCCCTCTCTACTGCACGGTGAGGTGATGGCCGTCACGCAGTATTCCGGCTTACACACACTCATTTGTGTCTTCCGATGTGCGGGTCTTCTCGCATTTGATGTGTCAATGCGCCACCGATCCATGCATCCATAGTATGTGTGTTCCTGTCTGTTTCTCGTAAAGGGATACATCAACGGATGGCGATTTTAGAGAGTGCCTGTAGAGCGAGAGCGGTGAGAGAGGTTAGCTTTATGTTATATGCATTTAGTGGGTGTTTGCTTTGTACAGACAGGGACGGAGCTGTGAGAGGTGCTTGCGTACTGGTAAAGCTCTGCCGGAGCTGGCCAGCCGCTCCTCGCTTTTGCTTGTGTCGCACCAGTAGCGGTGGGACAGCGGCGATGTAGCATGTACCTGTCTCGAAAATGAGTGAGATTCTGAACTTCAAGTTGATTATGGCGCCTTCCATATTATGATCTTTATGATCTTTAGCTTTTTTCCTGTGTTGTCGCCCCCTCCCTTCCTGTCTGTCTTCCTACATGCCTCTCTCTATGCCTCCCTTCCTACCACCTCTTCATCTATTCACCCTCTTTGCCTCCTTTTGTTGTAGCTGTCAAGTGGCAAGTCTCTTCTAGTAACCTGAGGGCCTCGTCAGTATGTTGACGGGGAGAGGGGGAATATTGAAACAAAGAGGAGCCTAGTACGTGAAATACCCAAAAAGCATGAGTTCCCCTCATGCTTTTCTCCTCGATCATTGCATGTGTGCATTCGTCATGCCTCTCTGAGCCACGGTTGCTGGCTACAAGGCACGCTTGCTGGCAACGGGCCTTGGTGCTCATCGCCAGTCTCGGTTGCTGGTACCAAAGGGTGGTTGCTGGCCACAAAGGACGGTTGCTGGTAACAGATCTTGGTTGCTGGCACCCAGTGCTTGTTGTTTGCAGTGAAGGGCGGTTGCTGGCAGCGGCCCTTGGTTGCTAGCTTGCAACACATATGCCCAGCAACCGTCCAAATTCCCCTTGTATTGTTTCTGAGTCTTCATTCATTCATTCATTCATTCAGCGTCTTCTATGAACGCATGAAGATGCATCCATGGAAACGATAACGCAGCCCTGCAAAAACGAGGCAGGGACCAGGGCGGCGAGTCCGGCTCACCAAGGTTTCCCTTGGCTACCCCTGGGTTTCGGGAAAAATGCCAGATCTGTCTGAGGTCTGCGTGCTGTGACGTGTCACCCCGATGGCGGGGGGCTGCCCGGCTTGTATACTTCCCCCGGGCCAGGGGAGGTGGTGTGCCGCACCGTTCAGCCTTGGAGGAGGGTGTTAAGGAGAGATGGGTTTGACATGAATGAGTTTGCAAAAGAAGTACTCCCAAAGAAGTTAGAATTTTAAGTAGATTTCATTGGGTGTGGAGAGAAGACGGTGGACTTTGTCAAGGTGCTCGCCAAGCGGAAGCCCCGCCACACCTCCATTCCCATGGAGGAGGACGCAGCTTTTGGAGCAAGCGTCATCAACCATTGGAGCCAGCTTTTGTCCGTCGAGCTGATGATGCACAACGCGTTCCAAGTGGCGTGTCGTGACAACGCGCTGCGGTCGCCAGAGGGCCACGGAGGGCCAGCGCGTTCCCAGGGGACTTTGTGATCCGCGGGCGTATAGGCCACACACCAGCCCCGCTTCGGGGCTGTGAGGTGCCTGGCTGGATCTGGATGCTGTGTGTACCGTGGTGCATGTCTCGCACTTGATTGTGTCTGTATAGTGCGCGGCATGTATATGTTTGCAGGCAATGATGGTTGCTCATTTGCTTTGCACACCAGCTGGATGGATGGATGGACATGTTTGGGAGCAATTATAACGATATGTTGCTTCTCTGTGTAGTCTTTCGATTCGGGGAACTACCACGCGACATGTACACCGGAGAGGCTGGCCGCTCAGTCGGCAGCGACCAAAACAGGGTGGACGGGGAGCGCAGCTGCATGGGCGACGAGGAAAAGGACCAAATCAGAATGTTTTCTTTTTCCTGCCTTATTAGGTTTTCCCTACCATGTAGATAGATGGCGCGCCTCAACCACATGCTTATATGTACATTCGATCTCGTGAATCTGCGAAACGTGTACACTGCGAGTATGATTCATCAGCTTTCCGCACTGTACCTATCAAACGCGACAGAAGAATAAAGGGGACGAAAGCCCGGTATGTAGCGCCTTGATGTGAGCAGAAAGGTGAAGTGATTACGCGCAACCTGAGCAACATCTACTATCCCTTGTCAACACTTTGTCGGCCCTTTCGGCTTCGTTACCTTTCCACTATCCTCCTCTTTGGATACTTCACAGACTTCACGAGATGGATGAAGAAATCGTGAAACTCCATTCTCTTGATAAACACACATGTGTTTCTCCCGCCCTCGATTCCCTCGTTCGCCTTTCTTACGAGCAGCAGAGGCGTCTATGTGCAGTCTACAGAAGCCCACCGCGCTGCCTGGAACGAATTGCTGACGAGAATGTGGAACTGCAGGATTTGAGCTCGTTTCGTTGGTCAAGTCGATTTGCAGCGGAATGAGTGAATAGCGGATCCAATTACTGACGTTCGCCCACCGGGACACAGCTTGGCCCAGCACGTTCGGATGGATCGCTTCCACCACAGACGTCTCGTTTCCAATTATGAACGACGCACCATTGTGTTTTCTTTGCATCATCACATTCAGAGTCTGGAAAGACAAAAGCGACAGCCTAAATGTATCCAGAGTTGCCGAAAGTGGCTGCACCCCCTTCGTACCGTCAAAGCGTGGCCACCAGGGTAGTTGTAGATGGAAGCTATCAGACGAATCTGATGAGAAACAGCACATTATGTCACGCCAGAGGGCCGATATCCAGGCAGCCTACGTTGCTCAGAATGGCCGTGCTGCCCATGACGAACAAGGTGAGGATCCAAAACAGCAATCTTGAGGATCAATGCAAGGAACATGGGAAATTTAGCGATAAGCCATTTCTGCTGACCTCAGCCCCCCTCGCTTGACTTCATCGCCATCGCGTGCTTTTGGGCGCCCATTGGAGAATCGCTCGAGAAACTGGCTGAGTCCAATTGCCAGAAAAGCTGTGAGGGCCAAGAGGCTTGGGAAGATGAAGCGCACCTCCTTGTGGCCTCGAATACGTGTTCACACAGGAGAGACGTTTTGACGATCACATCCTCCTCCCCTCGACACCGGGCAGCTCACCGAGTTTTGACAGCGCGTAGACCGGGGCAAGCCACACTCCGAAGCACTCCCAGGTCAAACGACGCCGATCGGGGGAGAAAATGCACATCATCGGGAGAAAAATCAGCAAAGGGCCCATCGACTTTGGCACAGCGCTTGTGAAGTACCTGTATCCACCGATTTAACTAGCTTTTCATTGTTCGACGGCCCTACTCTTGCTTACCAGTGCCAGGATGCCACACCCCATAAGCGGCTCTTGTCCTGCACTGCGTTGAAGAAGAAAACCATCCCCTCAGGCCACACAAACCCCCAGTCAGCAGCATCTAATGCTGTGAGTGAGGATCCAAACCATGACAAAGGCTTTTGCAACAATGCACCGAGACGACGGGCAGGGATGGCACGCAGGACGTCCCAAGCTGTCATGGTGAATGGCGTGTTGAACCAGAAGAACGAGTCGACGGCGATAGATAACGCAACTCCCCCCAAACCACTCATCAGACATGACAGAAGAATCTCCATGAGATTCAGGCGGTTCGAAACAAGCCACAAATCGAGAGATGCGGCTACCGCCACGAGAATCAGCTCAGATCGAAAGACAACTGCCGCGAAGGTAAGTAAACACAGGACTCCTTGCGAAAGTTGACGACTTCGTACGTCCGTCGAGTCATCCTGACCAGTAATCCAACAAGCAAAGGCGAGCGAAGAGAGAATTAGCCCGAACGTGTTGGGGAGGAATCTTGAGAGATAGAATGGGATATGGAACTGTGCTGATAGCATCAAGTTGAAACACACGCCTGTCGATCTGCCGAACCGACGCTGCAGGGCGCCCTTAACGCAGCGGAGAGCAGCAAGCCCGAGAAGTGCAAGCACAAAACGCGATAAGAGAAGATCACCCATCTTGGCAGGAAGCGAAGGGAACCAGACAAAGCCACATACCTCCACGACGACCTTGACGGTCTTTGTAATTACTGCCACAATGATTGCACCGAGGAAAGAGCGCGGAACGACCCCAGGAAAGCTTCGGTGGTCGTATTCTTCCAGCTGCTTCACGCCGTACGTCATCAAATCGTGGACCGCTTGTGTGTTGAATGACTCCTCCACCTTTGTGAAAGGGCATAGCGGAATGGGAGCCAACACGGACATCCAGAGGATTATGTCGCTGAGATCCATCCAGAACTCCCCTCAGCTTACTAGGGAGTACGCTCTTACCTTACCTTCGGTCCCTCTTAATTCATTCTCACGCTTGCGGTTTCAGGGAGCACCCTAGGCGGCCTGACGGCCAAGTCCCCTGTGGTCTGTCCAACATGAAAACACGCACCCTAACATGCAACCCGGACACGCAACACGCAGCATGCAGAGGGCAGATGCAGCAAGCAGGTGGATATGCAATGCGCTGCGAACGACGGTAACATACGAGCAGGCACACAACGTCGCACACGCGCCACCCCAGCAACCTGAAGGCGGCGTGCGTGCGTGCGTGCGTGCGTGGTGCACCATGACTCCATACGCACATACCGCCCATCCCCAGGTGGCCAGCCAGTGCAGATCGACCAGTCACACACAAACACGCCCTTACAACAACCACGCACGGGGTTCTGGGGGTGTATGAGAGCGCACCGCCGCCCCAGTCTCCACGGCGGAGAGGGGCGGCAGGCGGCCGACCCGTAGACACCCTCAGGGCATACCCATACACATCACCGCAGGGAAAAGCAGGAGGGCGGCAAGACACACACACAGACCACGGCCACACCCACACCCACACCCCTACACACACGCACACGCACCCATACCCACACCCACACATACACGCAGGAATACCAATACCTTACACGCATACCCACGCCCACACCCACACCCACACTCACACCCCTACACACTTACACACACACACACACACACACACAGAGGCACATGGAACGCACAGTGTGGCGAGGAAAAGACCTAGTGGGGTGAATAGGGGCCCCTCCCCCAGACCTCGTCTCTGGGGAAGGGGCGGATGAATGGTGTGGCGGCCACTCTTGCCGCGCACCTCAAGAGCACACTCGCGCCTGACTGCACACGACAAGAGGACCCACCATCGGGCCACGACACGGCCCGTCGAGAAATCCCTGTCGTCCCTGTAGTGAGCTTCATTCACTGCCTTGCCTAGCTTGTGCAAAAAGGTCTCCATAGTCGAAGACCAGCGTCCATACGACTCGAAGGTCAAAGGCAAAAGCATGTACCCTCCCCGTGCACAGGCAACGGCATACACGTCCCTCTTGCGCTTCTCGGCCACGCGAAGGGCCGAGCCAGGCCGCTGGTTGGTGAGGTTCCTGGGTTCGCCTGGGCGGTCGTCGTGGGTGGGGTGAGTGCCGGTGACGTCAGCCATGATCTTCGAGCCGTCATGCTGAGTGATCACCAGGTCCATCCGCTGTTTGTCGGTCGTTTGCGGGAGTGGGCACTGGCGGTCACGCAGAAGCTGCTCGGTCTTCACGCTGGGGCATCGGGCCTCCTTGCAGATGCGATAGACGGTCGCTTGGACGGTGTTGTGTCGACTGGTGAGGTAGCCGCGATTGGGGCACTTGACCATGTGGTCGCCACGGGGGTCGCAGGGCTTCGTGCACGCCCCACACGTCGTCGGTCCCTTCGCCAGGCCGAGCTGGAACTGCACATAATTGTTGATGTTGTGGGTTGGCTGCATGGTGGTTTGCGTCTGATCGGCTGTTCGGTTTGTGTCAGGATGCTGCTGCCATTCATGTTATCGTGTGATTGCCGTCAGGGAGGGCGATGCGGTCATCTCCAGCGACCTGGGCAGTCTGTTCGACGTGACTGGACAAAAAAGTGGCCGGGTCACAGGCAGTTCGAAGGGTTGTCTTGGCCCGCGACAACAAGACAGTAGTTTCCTATCCTGACCAGCCCTTCGTCCCAGACGAGAATGTCACGGTCAAGTTCGATCCCGGTTTTCGCGTGCGGCAGCCTGACAACCTCACTGAGCATGAGGCAGGCCCCTACGAATAGAGCTCAGATACGAAACGAGTACGAGGCAGCGAGCGGAAATGCAGTATTGCCGTTTGACTACGCGGATGACTATGTGGATGAGAACAATGAGCAGGAGGCGTTCGAACTTGGACCGACATCGATGGATCGCTACGGCACACTGCCCACGTGGGCCGGAAGTGGAGGCCATCTCCGGAGGGAGAAAAAGCCGCCTTAGAAGGGAGACACAAGGAATTTGGTACTGAGAAAGAGCTGTACTTATTTACTGTGGAGTGGGGGCCGGAACCTGGGGAGAAAGGCCACAACGTTATCGTCACGCGCGAGGTATGGACATGCAGCGCACATAGACTATCGTTCGTGCGCACTGCTGTATAGGGAGATCTGTTTTGGTGGAGTCGGACGACTGACGGCACAATGCTGGGAGCGACACCGAGTGGCCATGTGGTAATTTGGGACCAGGGGGCAAACGACAGCCGCCTTGCTATATGAGCTCAACTCGACCTATCAGATCGTGGACAGGCACAAACCGGGTGGATAGATAATCTGACGACGATGATATAAGAAATGATGTTATGTGGAAGCAGGTCACGGCTATTTACGCGTGGACAAACACTCCATCTTCTTTGACGGCGACAACATTATATTGATGGCCTACCCAACGATGAACGGCATCATACATGGTGGTCAGTGAACCTGAGAGGAGGGGGGATCTCAGTATTGTGTCTCAACACTTATTCATTTGGGTCCTTTGCAGTGGTGCATGTGCTGGACGCTGCCAGGTGGGCATTTGTGCGCGCGTGTGTGTGTATGTGTATGTGTGTGTGTGTTTGAAAGGGGGGGACCGTGTCGTAGGAATGTGATACTGGAGTGGCGGACCATCGATGCATTCGCAGGCAAAGACTACGACCCTGCATTCGCAGACAAATTTCCATACCAACAATGCTGAGCGGAGGGCGCACGGTAGGTCGCAGTTCACTCGCGAGCTTTTTCGGGACTCGCGAGCTTTGAGCGAGCGAGGCACGCTCTTACCCGAAGTTCGTGTTCGGGACTCGCGAAGCTTGCTGAGCGTGGCACGCTCTTTCGGGACTCGCGAGTTTCACGAGCGTGGCACACCCCGTGGAAGCCTCCTCTCCTGATCGGGCAACTTTTAAAACGTCCCAAATGTGCCGAAAAATATTTAAAAACCGTCAAATAGGCGGAATATATTTAAAACAACGCAAATAAATAAAAAATCGAGGAGAACTTTAGGCGATGACGGGGGGGGGGGGGGGG